CGTCAGGGCCATGTAGAAGTTGTAAAAGCACTGCTCGGTAAAGACCCACAATTGGCACGTAGGACTGACAAGAAAGGACAGACTGCATTGCATATGGCTGTAAAAGGACAGAGTTGTGATGTGGTAAAACTGCTGCTTGATGCAGACGCTGCTATTGTCATGCTTCCCGACAAATTGGTAACACGGCATTGCATGTAGCAACCAGGAAAAAGCGAGCAGAGGTAATGCCATCAATTGCTCAGCTTTACCCGCTGTGTGTGTATGTGTGTGTGCCTTCACTTGAGTTCTTCAAAAGATACAATTCTAATTTGTGCCTCCTCGTTTTCCTTCACAGATAGTGAACGAGTTATTAAATCTACCAGACACCAATGTTAATGCATTAACCAGAGACCACAAAACAGCTCTTGACATTGCTGAAGGTCTTCCGCTTTCTGAAGAGTCCTCAGACATAAAGGATTGCCTTTCTCGGTATGGGGCTCTGAGAGCTAATGAGCTCAACCAACCAAGAGATGAACTGAGGAAAACTGTCACTCAGATTAAGAAAGATGTTCACATCCAGCTAGAACAAACCAGGAAACCAACAAAAATGTTCATAATATCTCTAAAGAGCTAAGAAAACTCCACAGGGAAGGAATCAACAATGCCACAAACTCGGTAACTGTTGTCGCCGTGTTGTTTGCAACAGTTGCTTTTGCTGCTATTTTTACTGTACCTGGTGGTGATGATGATGATGGTATTGCAGTGGTAGCAAGCGGTTCGGCTTTTAAAATCTTCTTCATCTTTAACGCTATTGCACTTTTTACATCCTTGGCTGTTGTGGTTGTTCAAATTACCTTGGTTAGAGGGGAAACTAAAGCGGAGAGACGGGTGGTGGAGGTGATTAACAAGCTAATGTGGCTGGCTTCTGTTTGTACTTCTGTTGCATTCATAGCCTCCTCGTACATAGTAGTCGGTCGGGAAGAACGTGTGGGCGGCAGTTCTGGTTACAGTAGTTGGGGGAGTAATAATATCTGGAGTTATTGGCACAATGACTTACTATGTGGTGAAGTCCAAGAGAGGCCGATCAATGAGAAAGCAGAAGTATGCTAAAAGAAGTGGATCTAACTCATGGCATCATTCTGACTTCTCCAATTCAGAGATCGAACGGATTTACGCCCTTTAACCTCGAATTTGCAATCCTGGCCGAAGGTATCAGACCAAGTTATGATGAAAACTGTGACAGTTGTTCTTGATTTATGCTCCAGATCACTGCTTCAAGAGCGAAATAAGAAACTATATGTGTACACATATTCATCCTCTTACCTCTTGCTGCAGTACCATGACTTATTGGAATCAAGCTTGGTTTTCATTATATTTCTTTGTTGCAGAGCCTAGTGTATTATCTTGATCACCCAGGTAAATATATGCCATTTATGGGCTGATACAGTGATTTGCAGAAAGAAGAAATCGAACAAGGATCTTGTTTTCGACTTATCTGACAACATATTTTCGAAGTCTGTGATACTAAGATTTTAGTTTATTTTTAAGATTCCTTGGTGCTAATCAACACTGGTATGAATATTTCATGCCTAATGCTTACGCAGCTTGATAAGGAGGCGTCATGGTAGAGGACTTGTGTGTTCATTGTAATAATTTGTAATGTGGGATAAAATCGGAGGTTGGGCTATATAATCCAAAGCAACGAGCAGATGCATGTAAATGATCAGTTTAACATCATATTTTAATTTAATTCAACGTCTAGAAACAATATATTTATGATTCTAGAAAGACTGATAAATGCTTTTTCTATTAATAAGTAATCTAACTAATACAAATTGATGGAGTGTTATACTTCTTGTCTAATGACTAACGAGATCAATATTGTTTTCTTTTTCCTTAAAAAATTCTGACTTTTTTTTATTTTATTTTCAATTTTTTAAATTTCTGAAATACTTCATTTATCATAGGCACCCTCTAATTCCCCAATTATATTCCCCAATTATATAATTCCATGCCTTTATATGACATTAAAATATGTTGGTATAGCATTAAGTGAAATTTTAAAAAGCCAACACAACAATAAAAACTAGTTAATTGTATTAAATAATGAATGTAAGAAAGTTGAATATGCAAATGGCCCAAACGCCCTTGTACGAAGGAAGATAAAGTGATAAACACTACACAAATATTAATTAATAGCATTCGCAAAAAAGAAAGAAAAGAAAAGCAGAGTCAATAAATTTTTTTTTTTTTGAAAAAAAATTAACAAAATGAGATGGCAAGGATGGGCTAATTCCTGTTTTATAGAAACAGAAAGTTCTTTTTTGGTAACATTATGGAAGCTAAATTGAGCCAACCAGTATTCATAGAAATGATACCAATGGGTTATCTTTATCTCCGTCGTATACAAGCGCAATGGAGGTTGGTGGTCATCTTGCTCCTTTCTGGCGTCCTGCGTAGTTGCAGAGTCATAACAGGAGCACGTTGGGAAGAAAACCTATTCATTTAGTTTATCATCTACTACTTCCCTTCACTTCTTTATCCTCACCATCAAATCAATTTTGAATAGTTGAGATTTAATATCTCTTGAAAAGTAAAATATATATAAAAAATATTTTAATAAAAAAATTGTTTAAAAAGACATTTAAATAACCTAAATCCTTATTTGTGTAATTGAATTTGTCAAAGTCTTAATTAGGTCACATGACCCAAACAAGAATTTGAAAATTTTATGAAATAACTATAATATCCATTGCATCAAAAACCTAGAGAGATGAGAATTTCCACCATTATATTCTGTGTAACGTAAATGCTTTTATTGAAGAAAACTTGGTGTCTACCATTGCCAAGTAAAAAAAAAAAATCAATTAAGGAGGCAATGATGAGTTATTTTTATATTAAATATTCTTCCCTTAATCCTGCAAGTATATTATGAAGATAGAAAGTTGTTAATTTAAAATTAAAACGAAATATGTTAATTTTAAAAGTTGCATTGTGATCAAATTTTATTCATAAACTTATTATTGCAAATGTTATGGAGAAAAAAATTTATAAATTTAGAATTAAAACGTATTAACTGTGAAATAGAATATGATAACTTTTAATGTTGTATTATGATCAAATTTTATTTAAAAATTTATTACAAGTGTGTTTTGGAGACATTAACGTGCTAATTTAAAATTGAAACTTGTTAATTACATAATTAAATATATTAATTTTTAAGATTGTATTGTGATCAAGTTTTATCTAAAAGCTTTGTATTATAAAGATAAGAAATTATTAATTTAGAATTAAAACGTGTTAATCACAAAATGGAATAGATTAATTTAGAATTTTCTTTTTGTTTCTAATAAAATAGACATTAGTATCATTTCATAAAATTTTAAAAGCCTTCTTTGGGTCACATGACTTGATTCAGAATTTGACAAATCTAATAATCTAAATAAACAATTTGGGTTATTTAACAGTTTTTTTTTTAATTTTTCCTATTTTATTGTAAATTTCTTCAAAAGAGTTGTAGAAAAAAGGAAACAGTTCTTCAAACGAAAAAAGTTAATGCTTGTCATAATCTCGTCACCATCATCTATCATAATTGTAGTTTTAAAGAATAACTAATTGGGACCCATTAATGGAAAACCGAAAAGTCATTGGCATGACCGTATTTTAACAATATAACAAGCCTTTTAAATGCTATAATAGAATATAATATAGGATAAAAAAAAATACTAAAATCAAATATTGTCAAACAATAAGAAGGAATCAAATCCATACTTATGCTATGGCAAAACAAACAAAAAAATCCATACTTACGGAAAATAGAATATCACATCATGTTTAAATTTAGGTAACAAAGCGTACATGAGCAAAGTCTAGCTAACGAAATAAGAGGACTCAAAATCTATACAAATCCAAAAGTATTCAGTCAGTTAATTAAATCAAAATTTCATGGCAGCATAAGGAAATAAAAATTCCATCCATAAATGATGAACCACTAAAATAAATGAAACAATGGCAAGATAGTTGCAATTTTCCTGAGATAAAATAATCTAGATAAAGATAATAAATTACTTTGAATGTCTAGAGATAAAAATTTTGGTTTAAAGAATATTTTAAGGGAATTTACCCAAGAATAAGACAATTTCTTAGACATTATGGAAAAAATACTTATAGTTGCTCAATTTAATTTAAAAGTATCAAAAATAACGCACCAACAATACATATAGACCATATGTGGGCAGATGATAGATATGCGTGACAAACAAATTACACATACGTACAAATGTACAATTTGGAATACATCATCCTTAAGTTTCCCAACAAAAACCTGATCATCTGTCATCACATCATCTAACTAATCCTAGGCTCACATCTCATACAAAGATATGTGGTTAAATAATTTGCAAAGTATTCTTTGAGCTATGAATCTCTCTAACACCCAACTCGAACTTCATTTTACAAAACTATATTTTCACTTGCTAGCTGGCTAGCTAGCTAAAGGATGATGGATTATAAATTAATTGTTATTTGAAGTACTGCTGATGAGACTGCTTGCAGTGTGCAATGGCTCCCATAATCAAATTCCCTATCTCTAGTTCTTGACATGATCCATGCATGCACTTGCTTGTTGGAAGCCCAGAAAATGAAGAGAGGAACCATTGAAGCATAACTTATTGTTTGCAACTAATGATGATCTTTTTATTCTATTACTTCCATAGTTCTCACACTTTCCTCATCTTGATCTGTGTCAATATCTATGCTTCTGAACTCGATTCTGGATGAGAATGACTGGAATCTCTCTCTATCTGATCTTTGAATAATCTGTCGAAATGGGTATTTCTTCCCCATCACCACTTTCCCATTCTGCTTATGATTCAAATTATTACTCTCTCTAGATCTTGAAGCCGAACCTTCATCTGCCACTTTCTTTGTCACGTAGGCTGACTCATATTTGCAGCTTATCTTTCCAAACCAAGCCTTCAATTTGGAAACCATTGAGAAGAATTGCTTCTTCTCCTTCTTCATCATCTTTTCTGGTTTTTCTCAGCAATGTCCACAAAATCACGATCTTCTTCTTCTGGGTTAAGCATCTCATGACCCGTAACTCGAAAAGACTCATGGAGTGAGACTTTGGGGGATTCAAATGGAGTTACTGTAACTGGTGTTGAGTATGAAGTTGTCAAGGGAGGAGAGCTATAGAAGCCATCAAAGCCATAATCTTTCTGGCTATTAATTGGGCTTCTATTGGAGATAGAATCATTTACAGAATCAGAACTTACTGATAAATAAGAATGATCTTGTTGATTTTGGAGGATCTGTTGGACCATTTGAAGACGGGGAGGAAGGTGAAGAGGAAGGAGCTTGCCTTTGTAGAAAAGCTCGTCAGCTGGGGAAGTTGAAGAAGCCTCACTGTGCTGAAAGATGGAGGAGGAGGAGGAGGAGGAGGAGGAGGAGGAGGACATCTGGAACTCAAATTCTGATGAATTAGGGTTAGGAGAAGGAGAAGTGTGAGAGAGAAGGAAATTGGAGAGGGAGCTGATCTCCATGTCGATGAACTCATCTTCTCCATCTGCTGGAGAAGTATTTTTGCTGCCATTTTTGGTATATGTGGGATATGTGATCCATATGCATGCCAAACTCAGCTTTATATCATGGAGAAATGACGGTGGTGGTGAGAAATATTTCCATGCATCCACTTGCACGCACCCATCTTATTAGGGCCCACGCCTATCCTCTATATATGTTTTCTTCATTTACCCTATATATGTGTAGGCATGTAGGGAGATAATTTTAAACACTTCAAGTTAAATTTCAATGATATGTTTGGAGTA